CTAAACCAGGCATTTGTTCATATTCCCAAGCAAAACAATCTTTATACTCCTTTAACAAACCGATTAATTTATCACTAACCTCTTGATCGAGCATCTGGCTGATGAATGTTGGACGATCTTCTCCTTCATTGCCAATATTTACTTTGATCAGAGGGTCTTGTGCTTGAGCATATCCAGGTTTGATGATCCGCATCACTTCGTCGTCCAGTTCCCTTGTAAGTACTTCTTCTTCTAAACAGTCCACCTTGTTGACTTCTCGGCCAATGCTTTGTTCTAACTCGAATACTGCCAATTTGTCCTTCAGCGCTTTTAGGGCTATCTCTTCTTTCGCCTTATCATTGCATTCCTTATTGAAAGCCATCAGTCTGGCTTTGAAGGCCTGAATATCGACCATTTGCTTTTGTAACTTAGAATTCATTCAAGACTCCTTGATTATTCTTTTGCCAATTACTGGCTCTTCTAGGGCCACTATATTTGGCCTCATCTGTCTGAACATTTCAGTGAGTGTGTCCACTGAAAATGGCTCTACGCTTTGCGCGACAACTTGAGTTTCTTCCCCATCTTGTACTACCCTGACAGGTCCATAGTTTCCTTCGTACATGAACTTTTCCACCGAGTTTGCTTCTGCGACAAAAGGCCTATGATCGGCCTGTACCACCTCTGCTTCGCCTTTGTTATTCCAAAAGATCAGGCATTGATGGAGCGATGAGGGTATACAGCGACTTCCGTGTATCCAATCTCTTCCTAATAACATATTGTAACTAGTAGGACCATCTATTACTAAGAAGACTGTGGTCCTAGTAGTCGTCCCTATAGTTATGTCCAATGGCATAACTCCCTTAGCTGAAGTTGCTCCTCCATTGAAGCTCGTAAGGATGACTTCTGTAGGAATTATGTCACCCTCTGTCTTTGTGAACTTCCTCATCATCCTAGATGGAATGGTGTTTATAGCTGCCTCATTGTCGACAAGCACTTTTGCCACAGGGATGCCATTAACTAGAGCTTTAACGTACAATGGCCTCAAGTGTTTAGTCAATTTCATGGCTGGCCGTTTAAAAATAACCTTTTTGGCAGCCTCTATTTCTACTTCCTGCTTGATTTCTGTCGAATTATCCCCCTTTGATAAGTCGACGTGCAGCATATCGCGCTGATCCTCTGTCTCCTGAATTTCCTTCTTACTTTTTTCTAATGCTTTCTCATCAGTTACCCAACCTGTGGGAGGGGGCATTATTCTTGGGGGTGATCCATACTTTTTAGAGCGAGGCACTCTTTTCTTCCTTTTGGGTGTCCCGTACAATACGTAGAAATCGAAAGGACGTCCAGATGGTTCTCCCAACAAGTCTACTTCGCGAACTCCCTCCCGATGTAGTTGCTTCAACAGAGTATTGCGCGATACTCCTCTCCTTCTTCCTTCTGCTTCTAGGTCGATTTCTTCTTCAATGTCTGTCATCCCGTCATCTTCTTCATCGTTGTAGGTCTCTCTAGAAGTCTGGCCTCCTTCTTTCTTTCATTGATTCATCTGTACCGGTCTCTTCACTATCTTTGAGGACATTTTGATTGGCTACCTTGAGTAGTTTAGGCGCTTTAGGATGTGGCACTCCCTGTTGCTGCCTCATCATTCGTCCATAGTTTCGTTGGAAACGCCTTTGTTGGGTTTTAGTCATCTCATCGAAGGGTATTGCCCTTCCTGCATTATACTGGAATGAATGCCATACATTTGGCCGGCGAGGTTGCGGCCTAAATGTTCTCCCATTATCTGCTGGTCTGAACTGCCTCTCAAAAGGCGGTCCTCTATAGAATGATGTACCTCGCCCTCTACCAGGCTGAGTGTTTGGGAAGAAAGTAGGGCGATGGGGATGCTGCCATATCCCTGTATCTGCTTATCCCTATATAATTTATCAAATATAAGGTCAGCTTTGGTTACATCGAACGAGAACATTCTAGCCTTTATGTTTCCATCTTTCATGGGCTCATCTTTGCGCGATGGTCTAAGCTTGGCCATTATGGGACAAGTATACGTATCTCCTTTGACCAATTCGGCCAAACACATTTCGGCCTGATCGTATGACTCGTCGCTGATGGTATGAACATCAAAATTTAGGTCTTTGTAATAAGTCACTTTACTAGAATTCTTCATCTGTTCTTCCTCTCTTATCAGTCGTTCATACCTAATCACATTCGCACTCAACTGGAAAAGGTCAGGAAATTCCTTGTCCTGTAATTTCTTTTTTAAATCAAAGCTCAAGCAGCCCTGAGCGATTTTGACAAATTCTTTTTTCGGGCAGAGGTACAAAACACTTGCTTCTTGCTGTCTTGAACCTTTGGAGAAAACTTTCTGCCCATTCGTTTGGCATTTGATGTAGATTCGCCAAATCAGCCAAAGTGACTTCAGACTCAGTTTTATAAAACTGACCGTGAAATAGCTGTTCCAATTGTTGCCATGTTTGAACAGAGTTTGCTAGCAAGTTGATGAACCAGGAGAAAGATACTCCTGTTAATGAACTAGGGAAAAGCCTCATTTTATGGTAATCGGTTACATCACCACTTTGCAATGTAAATCGCCCTATGTGTTCTAGAGTAGACACCTTCCCTAAACCGGTAAACAGTGAGAATTCTGGCACTTTATACCCTCTAGGCCATGGATATGCTTGGTCTACCCAATCAGGATATGGCTTTGTGTAAGTCGGCCTAATGATGGGACGCACCCCAAAAGCTATCTGATCCTGTACGATTTTCATAATCTGATTCCTCAACATGACGTTGGGGTCATAAGGAATTCCTACAGGTTGGTTAACTGGTTGATTTGCATGAGGTCTGATGTTTGGTCCTTGATTGGCAACAAAGTTACCATGATTAGGGCCATTACCATTAGCCTGAACATCTATTTCCTCATTAACACGTGGGGTATTCTGTCCATTGTTTAGGACATTATCTCTTATATTTGGATTACCCCCCAAGTTAGGCGTACCACTACCATTGTTCTGATTTGGCACTGCCCCACCCCCTTGGTTTGAAGTAGAGGGACCAGAAAGTGGTTCTACCCCTTGATTCGGATTTAGGACTGAGGGATTATGTCCCACAATTGTCCTAGTTTGAAAGTGGTTTGCAAGAGGCATAACCGGTTGACATATTTGGCCTACTAACTTATTCATTGTTTCATTCAAAGTGTTTGACCATGTTGTCATAATGTGTATTCCCATTTTGGGTAAATCTTTCCATATTATGAATACTTCGAAGATTTACCTGTTCAACGACATCTTGTGTGAGTTCTCCAAGTAGTGCACGCATGGTTCGAGGACTCAACTCTGTCATTGGTTCGTAACGACTGTTACTGCTCTGATTCTGTCCATCTGTTCGTGGAGAGGCATGCTGCTCCTCATATCGCTCGATCACATACTGGATTCCTCCCTGACTTGCTGCTTTCTTATCGGATCTCTGAGGCATATTCTTTCACCTTTTATATTTTCAACACCAAACACCACTGTCCCACCGGGCGTGCCAAATTGTTTCATGCGGGTTCGTCGCTAACAATTAAAAGGGATCAAACGATTGTATAAGGGACAAACCTCTTAAGACAAAGTCCCAAAAGGGGTGTTCTTTTATTGGCGATGACTTTACAATTGGAAATTAAAAACAGAATGCCTCCAATGGGCGCAAGCACACGAGTTATTGAAAGAAGTATTTAAATCTAAACTAAGGAATTTAAAATTACATGTTCTCTGTTCGAGAGTTTTTGATTCGGTCCTTTTGCTCTATGTCTTTTCTTCCTTTTATACTCCCTGGATGATCTCTTTGTGATCAACCGCCCTAAAACTGCTTGATCGTTCTACAACTGCCTACTTTCCTCGTAATGGCCAACTTGTCATGGAACTGCCTTTTTTAACTGCTGCAATTACTCTTCGTCGTTCAACCATTTTCGATTGAATTCCTTGAATCGTGGAACGTGATAGGGCTACTTTAATAACTGCTGTGATAACTGCACTTCTTGATAACCGCAACACTTTATGTTTGCTAAGACCTTGGGCGATTAGAAGGTTTGGGCGAGAATAGAGTAACAGCTCTGGGTGACTGCATGGCACTCCATTCGCTCAGATTCTGGGCGACTTGCAAACTTGGGTGATGGTGTTACCGCGTTCTTGGGCCTCCCTATTTAGGCCTTCATCTTGACTTGTTTGATTGGGCTTCGTTCTTTGGGCTATCTGATTTGGAGATCCTCCAACTGGGCTTCATTCCTTGGACCGTTCAATTTGGGCTGAATTTTTATGTGTCAACAACCAGACTTGGATTTACTATTTACTTCACCATTAGGATATTTTGAAGTCGTATCAAAGTATATTTCAAATTTGTCCTGCCAACTTTGGCTCCCATCAACCGATTCGTCTGATTTTCTGGAGCCGCTTGGAAATTCAAAAGATATTGAATATATTAGACGCGGTCTCCAACTACTATTGTCATATGGGAGAAAGCTTGAGGAATTCTTCACTGTCCCAAACATGCAAAGCTCGTCATGTCCTAATGAAGTTATTGCAGCCTTTATCAACTTTCTACTCCGAATGGTAAAATCCATCCTATGTAACGCAGAATACATTGCTTTCCAAAATCTCCGGACAGAGCTAGGATTTATATTACTTTTCTTGGGGATACATCAATGCATTTGCAGCCCACAAAGAATATAGTGATAGATATCCAAGCTGTGCTTAACGAGTTAGGAAATTTCTTTTATTCCTTGTTTTTCTCCTTGATTGTATTGTTTCTTGCACTCTGGCATTTTCGACGTTCTTGAGGACATGCCATTGCAGACCACTACTGAGGTAGAAGAAACCGAGAAAGCAATGGCGGATATCAAAGCTATGGTCCATGAGATAGGAAGTTTCATAGTTTTCACCAAGAATGATCAAGTCCCGGAGAGTGGAATAGTGGGCCTAGCTCTTTCCGATTTGTTACCAAAGTTCGAGCTCTTGAAATCAAAGATCAAGGAGCACTGCATCACAGTCTAAAAGATGCCAATTGATATGGCTCCAAAGACTGGCATGGTTTCACTCTTCATTGTTGATTCCGTTCTTGATGATCTCATGGACCTAATAAATAACAAGTCTGACTGGATTCTTGGTCAGAACGATCAAATTGTAATGCTACATGAGGAACTATTTTTGTTGGGATCTTCCGTCACCAGTATAGCTGTGCAGCAAGAAGCAGAGCAGCAAGAACTCATAATAAAAACCAGAGACGTAGCATTTGAAGTTGAATATGTTATCAACTCATTTCCCCCTGTTTGGTATCTCACCCTCAGACATCCTCAGCTCATTGAGAAGATTCAGCTTATTATGATGGCCATCAAAGAAATGAAGAACGATATTGATGTGGCTGGAATGGCAGAAATTGCAAAATATCCAGGTGAGCACTTATCATTGCAACCTAAAGACCCTTCCATTTTGGAAGATGTTATTGTGGGGTTTGAAGATGTTGCACTCGAAATTGCAGAACAACTTGTTAGAGGAGCAGAGCAATTGCAAATTATCTTCATATTTGGAATGCCTGGACTTGGTAAGATGACTTTAGCAAATAAACTATATAATGATCCATCCGTAGTCTATCAGTTGTTTCTCAAACATATAATAAGAAAAATATTTTGATTAACATTTTGAGCTCGATAAAAAATATTAAGCAAGAAACAATTGCAAACCAGGACATAGAAAGTTTGGCTGAATATGTTTACAAAAGTTTAAAAGGAAGGCGATATCTCATTGTCCTGGATGATATATGGGATACAAAATTATGGGATGATTTGAAAGGATTTTTTCCAAATGACAGAACTGGAAGTAGAATCTTATTCACCACTCGGAATAAAGAAGTAAGTTCGAAAGTGTCACCTCATTGTGTCATAAATACACTTCCTTTTCTATCGGAAGTTGAATGTTGGGATTTATTACAAAAGAAAGTGTTCAGAGATAAAAGTTGTCCTCAAGAACTGCTAGACATTGCGAAGGAGATTGCAAAAAAATGTCACGGCCTACCACTTGCTGTGGTCGTGATAGCTGGAGTTCTTGCAAATATGGAGAAAAAAGAACACTTGTGGCAAGAAGTTGCAAGAAATTTAAGTTCACATTTATCCAAAAATTCAGACAACTACATCCAGATATTAGAACTTAGCTATTATCATTTGCCAATGCACTTGAAACCATGTTTTCTTTACTTTGGAGATTTCAAAGAGGATGAGGAAATCCACATACAAAAGTTCATATCATTATGGATAGCTGAAGGATATATAAAGAAGGAAGAGCAAAAGAGTTTAGAGGATGTGGCATTAGAATATGCGATGAAACTAATTGATAGGAGCCTGGTACTTGTTGGTAAAAAAAAATTTGATGGTTCAATCAAAACTTGCAAGATTCAGGATCTATTGAGTGAAATGTGCTTGAGAATAGCTGACGAATTTTTTTTTTTTAAGATTGTCAATATGTAAGTTCCTTATTTCTCTTCTTTTTTCTTCTCTATTCATACATTTTTGTTTTAGTGTACTAATAATGGTGACTATATCTGATGATCGTATCACGTATGATTATGTTTTTACCAGTAATGATGATGAATCTCATCCATTGCTGTACTTCAGTGAAGTGGGGATGTATCAGAAACACCATTGTCGCAACTACTATTGTCATATGGGAGAAAGCTTGAGGAATTCTTCACTGTCCCAAACATGCAAAGCTCGTCATGTCCTAATGAAGTTATTGCAGCCTTTATCAACTTTCTACTCCGAATGGTAAAATCCATCCTATGTAACGCAGAATACATTGCTTTCCAAAATCTCCGGACAGAGCTAGGATTTATATTACTTTTCTTGGGGATACATCAATGCATTTGCAGCCCACAAAGAATATAGTGATAGATATCCAAGCTGTGCTTAACGAGTTAGGAAATTTCTTTTATTCCTTGTTTTTCTCCTTGATTGTATTATGTTTCACGCAACCTCGGGATCAAGATGAAGAAATTATTGATGCTTTAACTGATTTTGAATCTATGGTCAACAAGTTAGTAAGTTCCTTGCACTCTGGCTTTTTCGACGCTCTTGAGGACATGCAATTGCAGACCACTACTGAGGTGGAAGAAACCGAGAAAGCAATGGCGGATATCAAATCTCTGCTCCATGAGATAGGAAGTTTCATAGTTTTCACCAAGAATGATCAAGTCCCGGAGAGTGGAATAGTGGGCCTAGCTCTTTCCGATTTGTTACCAAAGTTCGAGCTCTTGAAATCAAAGATCAAGGAGCACTGCATCACAGTCTAAAAGATGCCAATTGATATGGCTCCAAAGACTGGCATGGTTTCACTCTTCATTGTTGATTCCGTTCTTGATGATCTCATGGACCTAATAAATAACAAGTCTGACAGGATTGTTGGTCTGAACGATCAAATTGTAATGCTACATGAGGAGCTATTTTTATTGGGATCTTCCATCGCCAATATATTTGTGCAGCAAGAGGCAGAGCTGGAAGAACTCAAAATAAAAACCAGAGACATAACATTTGAAGTTGAATATGTTATCAACTCATTTGCCCCTGTTTGGTATAAATAATTGTGTTTGATGTATTTTGAATTGTTTTTGTCTTTTAATTAATTTATTAATTATTATGTCTTACATTTAAAATTTATTTTAAATACAAATAATATTAATAAAAATAATAATAATTTATTAGATTAAAAAATATATAGCATAAATAACATAAATATCCTCAACAAATTTATTTGGGAAATATTAAATAAGAGCAAAAAAGACATTTTACACTTTGCACTATTTTGGTGAAAAATGGTGCAAAGTGAATAGTATTGCACTATTCACTTTGCATCATTTTGCACCAAAATTGAGCAAATTTGGTGTTGGATTGGAGCAATTTTGCACCAAAAAATGGTGCAAAATGGTGTCATGGTGTAAAATAGTGTAAAGTTTGGTATTGAATTGGAACAACTTTGGACCAAAAAAGAATACAAAATGGTGCAATGGTGTCATGATTGGAGATGCCCTTAGTGAATTAGTGTTGCAAACCAAAAATTTCGCACTTTATTGCACCGACAATTTTTCTTGGCGATGGAGAGGACGGCAATCTGGTGAAGATATTAATTAACAGAAAAGGCTTGGTTGAAAAGGACGTTTGTGGTTTTTTCTTTACATCCATTTTTAATTGAAAGCTATTTGAAAAGTGTGAATTATGTAGTCCACTATATTCAATAATTCAAACCCACTGTCCCCGCACTAATTTCTGTCTTCTCCATATTCCGGTTTCAAACTCCATTTTCAGATCTGCAAGCTCCAAAGCTATATACTAAATTTTTTCTTGCTTCTTTAATGTTTGTATTTAATCCAAACAATTGGTAGAATCTATTAGCTTTTAAACACAAATACTTTTTTCCCTGCAATCGCTTGCATCCTTTCCTTATGTCATCAGGAGAGGGAGAAACAGGTACAGACTGCCTGGGCACGGAAGAGGGGTACTATTTACCAGACGAAGATAAATTGTTTACTGGGCCAATAGGTTTCCATATAATCGTGCTTGAGTATGAGTCAATTTTGTCCTGCCAACTTGGGCTCCCATCAACCGATAGGGTTGATTTTCCGGAGCCGATCGGAAACTCAAAAGATGTTGAAAAAATTAGACACAGTCTCCAACAACTATTGTCACGTGGGAAAAAGCTTGAAGAACTCTTCACTGTCCCAAACCAGCAAAGCTCGTCATGTCCTAATGAAGTTGTTGCAGCCTTTATCAACTTTCTACTCCGAATGGTAGAATCCATCCTATGTAACGCAGAATACATTGCTTTCCAAAATCTCCAGACAGAGCTAGGATTTTTTATTACTTTTCTTGGGGATACATCAATGCATTTGCAGCCCACAAAGAATATAGTGATAGATATCCAAGCTGTGCTTAACGAGTTAGGAAATTTCTTTTATTCCTTGTTTTTCTCCTTGATTGTATTATGTTTCACGCAACCTCGGGATCAAGATGAACGTCAATGGAAAGCTTCCAAAAACTAGAATTTCTTGTTGTGAACAGTTCTTCTGAAGTTGAAATACCGGATGTCCTCCTTAATAAGATGAGTTTGAGACACATGCATTTCGGACATGCAATTGCAGACCACTACTGAGGTGGAAGAAACCGAGAAAGCAATGGCGGATATCAAATCTCTGCTCCATGAGATAGGAAGTTTCATAGTTTTCACCAAGAATGATCAAGTCCCGGAGAGTGGAATAGTGGGCCTAGCTCTTTCCGATTTGTTACCAAAGTTCGAGCTCTTGAAATCAAAGATCAAGGAGCACTGCATCACAGTCTAAAAGATGCCAATTGATATGGCTCCAAAGACTGGCATGGTTTCACTCTTCATTGTTGATTCCGTTCTTGATGATCTCATGGACCTAATAAATAACAAGTCTGACAGGATTGTTGGTCTGAACGATCAAATTGTAATGCTACATGAGGAGCTATTTTTATTGGGATCTTCCATCGCCAATATATTTGTGCAGCAAGAGGCAGAGCTGGAAGAACTCAAAATAAAAACCAGAGACATAACATTTGAAGTTGAATATGTTATCAACTCATTTCCCCCTGTTTGGTATCTCACCCTCAGACATCCTCAGCTCATTGAGAAGATTCAGCTTATTATGATGGCCATCAAAGAAATGAAGAACGATATTGATGTGGCTGGAATGGCAGAAATTGCAAAATATCCAGGTGAGCACTTATCATTGCAACCTAAAGACCCTTCCATTTTGGAAGATGTTATTGTGGGGTTTGAAGATGTTGCACTCGAAATTGCGGAACAACTTGTTAGAGGAGCAGAGCAATTGCAAATTATCTTCATATTTGGAATGCCTGGACTTGGTAAGATGACTTTAGCAAATAAACTATATAATGATCCATCCGTAGTCTATCAGTTGTTTCTCAAACATATAATAAGAAAAATATTTTGATTAACATTTTGAGCTCGATAAAAAATATTAAGCAAGAAACAATTGCAAACCAGGACATAGAAAGTTTGGCTGAATATGTTTACAAAAGTTTAAAAGGAAGGCGATATCTCATTGTCCTGGATGATATATGGGATACAAAATTATGGGATGATTTGAAAGGATTTTTTCCAAATGACAGAACTGGAAGTAGAATCTTATTCACCACTCGGAATAAAGAAGTAAGTTCGAAAGTGTCACCTCATTGTGTCATAAATACACTTCCTTTTCTATCGGAAGTTGAATGTTGGGATTTATTACAAAAGAAAGTGTTCAGAGATAAAAGTTGTCCTCAAGAACTGCTAGACATTGCGAAGGAGATTGCAAAAAAATGTCACGGCCTACCACTTGCTGTGGTCGTGATAGCTGGAGTTCTTGCAAATATGGAGAAAAGGTTAATCTCTAACGTTCGGTAGTGAAATTGGTCCTTTGACTTGAGGTCGTCATGGTACCTTATATGAGGACAGTCATACTTCAGCGGTGTTGGATGTTGCTCTGAAAAGGGCCGCTAATACGACATCGTTTGGGTACGTCAAGAATTTCCATATTTCGTAATTGATCGGATCATATTGACGAAGGGATTATAGTTTCACGGTAAACGAACGAATTTGGTTTTGTCATACCACGTGACATTTCCCATCACATGTATTGCCCTGACACATTGCTAGATATCAATCAGGGACGGCGAATGTGAATTGACGATAAATTAAAAGAGTGTTTTAATTTATCAATTTTGATTAGATCAAAATAATATTTCACGTCGTTAGGTATCGTGGTCGGGAACCTAATGGGTCACACACAAAAGAGAATTGGAAGATTGCAAATTGCCAATTGGTTAATTTAACAATCGTTGGATAAATTAATTAATTGGATTTGTTATTTATATTTTCGAATTAATTGATTGGATTAATTAATTCACGGACCGGGTTTAATTAATTGGATTAATTAATTATTGGACCGAACCGGGCCGAGCCTGTTTGGGTTTATATAAATACATAACTAGGGTTTGAGGTCCATAAGGTTTTCATTATTCTTGCTGGCACAAGAGAAAACCCTAGAGGCTGCAATCATATTCTCTGTGTGGATCACCGTTGGAGGCTGGACAATTGGACAGCTATGGTGGCGAATCAAGGTTGTGGAACGAAAAGAAAAGCAAAAGGATTGCAGATCTGAAAAAGGTACAATCTTATCACAATTTCTATCTAAACACAAAGGCGATTCTTGGTGGGAATCGAAAATTATTTTAAATTCCGCTGTGCATGTATAAGTAGATTCCCAACAGAATCTTCACACATTTATTCTTTCAACTTCCTTAGCCAGCTCAAATCACTGAAGCTTAGATCGGACAGTTGCATGGGAGATTCTTTCTTCAATTTTATTGGTCTACCCTTAAATCTCAGGCAATTGACTCTAATTGGTGTAAACATGGCTCAGGAACAAATGGAGATAATTGGGAAATTGAAGTACCTTGTGGTTCTCAAATTACGTGATGTTTGCTTTGAGGGAGGACAATGGGACACTAGTGAAGGTGAATTTCCACAACTTAAATTCTTGAAACTCTCTGATGTAGGACTTGCAGAATGGAATACCTCAACTGATCATTTCCCAAGACTTCAACGACTAGGATTGAAATATTGCAAACATTTGAAGATGATCCCTCCCAGTTTAGGTGATATTCCAACATTACTAATGATTGAGGTATATGACTGCGTGGAAGCTATCAAAGAATCTGCTAAGAGAATTCAAGAAGAACAAGAAGAAATGGGAA